CCGATATAGTTCAAATAACCCCACAGAGTAAATTTAGCTTGGACTCAGTTTGGACTCATTTTAACACTATCTGGAGACCCCTTTGAGGCGAGATTTTAAAAAAATGGGAAAGTTGAGGAAACCCTCCGAAGTAACCCCCGGATTGTATTAAGCCTCTTATTGACCCTCCTTAGTGAATTTAAGGGGAGCCTCCGAAGTAACTTAGGGATTTCAGGTACCCTTCGAGGTAACCCTCCGTAGTAGGCTAAGGGTCCTTATAATCCTCCGAAATGACCCTCCGAAGTGACTGAAGCCCCGTAACAACCCTCCTAATTGAAAATTTGGAGGGACCAAATTTAAACATCTCGAATATCACTTCAAGGTTGACTGAAAGGTCGACTTGAGAATAAAATAGCCCAGTTGACCGGAAGATTCGCAATCAAATTTGGATTCTAAATCGGGTTCATCAGAAGTACCCTAACAATTTTTTTTCTATTGTGATTTTGGTTGTGTGGTTGCCTTGAGCTACTTAATTGGAAGACTCGGGCAATCCGGGAGCACACAAAACAAGACCGCGGTGAGTTTATTAAGCAGGACACACTCACTTGAGAAGATAAAATTGTTCCCTACTCTCCTGCACTTGGAACTGTCCGAGTGAAGGAGAATTTTTGCTTAGACTCTAGATATTTTTGATCAGAGACTGCCTTGAGCTACTTAAGATGACAGCTCGGGCAATCACAGGACACATAAAAGAAGACCTCGGTGAGTGTATTAAGCGAGACACACTCACTTCAGAAGACAGTGTCATGGTCTTGAAACCATCACTGCTATTTTATAAAGAATGCTTGATTTCAAATGAGGCAGTGACTTCAGACATCTTGGGCTGTAAAATGATTATGAAGCGAGAGATCGCTGTCTCCTATAGGGTGTGTTGTTATTTTATTGGCAGTTGTGTTTTGTATGTTGGTTATAATATCTTGTGAATTTTTGTGATAATATATAACTAAAAAGTTGAATGGAGTCAGTAGGTACCCAACACTGGGCAGACCCTGTGTTGAATTTTAGCCAAGTCACTAATAACATCTCTAAGAGATTATAGAATACTTCAGACATTGAAGAAATTGAACAAGCAGGCTTAGGCAAATTTTTTCAGATTTTTTGGGACTTGTGCATTGTCGTCAAGATATGCAAATAATTTATTTGTATTTATTTTGTATATAATAGAAACCCACTTATCACAAAACATACAACGGAGAAAATCATTAAGAGAAACGATTAAGATTCCCAGGCTGAGCACGGGAAGCACGCGGAGGTTTAAATCGCGGCGTAGCTGATCTTCGATTACCAGCAACTCCGACAGTTTTGCTTGTCAAGCAACCAGTGAAGGTCATGGTGATCTTTCAGTGAGTGGAATGAAACTAAGAAGTGAGAAGAATCTAGTTGGTGATGAGGAGAGAAACGCTGAGGCCGGAGCGGCGAACGTGACACCAACGAAGCCCTTCAAGGAATGGGAGCAAACGCTAATCCGACCCGACCACCGCCATCATGAGGGCCCGCAAGAGCCCGGCGACGTCTGTGAAGGGGAAGGGATTGAGAAACCCACGAGACCTCGGAGCGTTCCGAGGCTGATGCAAGAGAGGAAGTGTTGTTCAAAGGGACGTCCAAATCGGAGACCGAGAGCCAATATCGGAGAAAGGAACAATCCTCTCTAGTCAAGCAGGGGAAGAATGCGATGATGTCGAGCTTAAGTCCCAGGGAAGAGCAATCAAGTTCAAAAGCATGGAAGAGTTTCAAGACATTGTACGATGAACGCATGGTGTCATTTCCAACAGCAGTGTTGTCTTCTGGCTTTGACCATCCGGGACTGATGCACTTGGATACGGACTTCAAACCTAGCCCGAGACAGGAGAAGAGTAAGAAAGCGATGTCCAATTCCCCATCAAGACGGATGTCAGATGGGATGAAGATGGGAACATCCTCGACATTCGACAGTCTGATGATGTCGGTAGGCACACAGGAAAGTGGTGCTTCATCGAGCACCAGGTTGCAACCTCAAATGACTTACCCCAGTGTTGGGAACGGCCAGTGATGTGAGTGGCATGTTTGCCAACATAATGACAAGCCTGAAGAACTGCGACAGGACATGAGAAAAAGGATCGACCGAGTGGAAGGAAGGACTCAACAAGGCCATGAAGGGTTAAGAGACGAACTGCCAGACACGAAACTACAAGCCAGAACGGAACAGGCTCAGTTGATTCGAAACACCGATCAGTGCCTTGCGAAACATCTCCAAGTTTGGAGAAGCAAAGTTATTCACGGCGTTGAATTTGGGCTCTGGGCTCTGGCAAGTGCCCCTCAGGAAACAGGATCGAGAGAAAACGGGCTTCGCCTGTAAACTGGGACTGTTCCAGTGAAAAAGAATGCCAGTTGGACTATGCAATGCGACGGCCACATTCCAACCCTTAATGGCTCAGGCACTCACGAATGTGACTATAAAAATGACAACCTCATAATGTGTTAAGTTGATGACATGGTGATTGCGTCACCAACCCTGGAGGACAATATAGAGAGACTAGAAGAGGTCATTACTTGCATGAAACAGGCCGGCCTGAAATGTAAACCCTCCAAGTGCGAAATCCTGAGAGCGTCAATCAAGTATCTGGGTCGTCTCGTAGATAAACACGGAGTCAGACCAGACCGTGAAGCGGTTGAAGCAGTATTGACATGGAAAGCACCGAAGACCGACCCGCAATTGATGTTCTCTCTCGGATTCGCTAATTATTGCCTAAAGTTTAACAAAGAGCGTGCTGACAAGATATATCCCATGCAGCAGTTGAAGCGAAATAAGGGTAGGAAATTCAGCTGGACTGACGAGGCTCAGATCTCTTTTGAGAACATTGAGAGCGAACGTTGCGACGCTCCGGTCCTCGGTATGCCGACAGAGAAAGGGATGTTTGTGCTAGACACAGACGCATCAGTAGTTGCGATATCGGGCATACTTCACCAGGAACAAAAGTGGAACGGAAGGACTGTTCTCCGGCCGATAGCCTGTGGGAGTAATTTCCTAAGACAATGAAACGAAATACGGTGCACCGAAAGCGGAGATTTTCGCAGTGATTACCTTTGTTGAAAAGTATCGGGCCTACTTAGGGAGTGCACCATTCAAGTTACGCGTGGACAACCGAGCTCCTGCCTGGCTAAAGGCTTATTCGATTAACCAAAGCTATATCGGTCGCTGGATCGAGCGTCTGGAAGGCTATCACATGATTTAAAAGCATCGAACACGTGACAAGCACCAGAATGCCGACAACCTCAGCAAGAAGACGGAGTTCTACGAGCTTTTAGAAGAGAAGCGAGCTAACCAGGCAAAAATTAAGGATGGCTTTTCTTTTTTGGATTAACATACCTATGACAAGCTGGCACTCACCAGGTGGCTTGATAAGTCCGGGCAACCCATACCAGGACACCCTGAACCTCCCGTAGAAACGGCTGCTGAGATAAATGTGTTGGCGAAGGGTGATCCGGTTCCATTGGATTTGCTAGTTCGCTCAAACCTGGTGCAATAAGAACTTACCAGGCTGGGCCTCAACAGCTTAGCCCATTTGACACAAGACGGTGAACGTAGCACCCGATGTCATGCGGAAGATCCGTGATCTGTTTGAAAGAGAAGCTGGAGTGCATGATCATGAATAAATGGAGACCATGTAGAGTTTGACCATCATTGAAAGCGAGGAGAAGAGACCGGTAGCAATTCGGAGTCGAGGCGTTGAACTGGATTGCCGATCGATAGTGAATCAGTTAGTGAATTCGATACCAAAAGATTTCCTTATGTGGAACGTCAACAAGCAACCGGTACTCAGACCGCTCAAGAGGTCAGTGTTAAATTAAGATCCAGCGTGACAAAAAGAGTTCAGTTCACTGATTCGAGGGAGGAGTACGAGCCGAATTCGGACTGTTCATGCGGAGGTGAAACATTGTCCGGGGAGCCAATTCATGTCTGGCCAGGCCAGGTTGATTTGTCCGGGGAGTTCACGCTGAAGCGACGAAGGGGCAAAATTTTGTCCCAAAAATTGAGAAACCTCAAGAACAGATCAGAGGGCGGCAATGCAGACTCCATCAGCTCGAATGATGGGTCAGAGTCTCAGTCTTGGGAAAATGTGTCAGAGACTAACTCCAATTCCGACGTCTCGGAGGTTGCGATTCATTATTTGCTAATAGAATGGAAGCAGCGCGGGCTGGATAAAGAGATGCATCAAGATCCAGACACGGACCGGTATACCTCCGATGAGAAAAGCACGGTAGTTGATAATGCCGGAGATGAGCTTGAGCTAATCGCACTGTCGAAACGTCCAACTAGGTTACGTCCGTACCAATCTGTAACCATTAGAGCAAGACGCGACACCTTTGAAAAAGATATGGTGTGTTAAAATGATGGACGATGCCCATGCTCCGGATATAATCAGCAGACAGCTAAAGGTGATGAAGACATATCTTAAAGCCAGGTACCGACTTGATCTTTTAGGGGCTCAACGAAAGGATAAGAGGACAAGCAATCTAAAGAAATGGATAGCAAATAGACCAACTGACAAGGGCAATTTGGAAGAAGACAGCTATAAGATCCTACAGCAATGTTAATTAAAGAGAAAGGGTTTATTATACTTGAACAAAAACGGGATTGTGACCTGAAAGCGCAAAGAAGAAGACAAATTTCTTTACAAATACAACCCGATAGTACTACCACAGCTGTATCAAACTGAATTACTGTTCCGTTCAACTAATCAGATGGGTCATCAAGGCGTGGATGAGTTGTATAACCGACTACAGAAGCAGTTTGAATGGCCAGGCTTGAAGAATGCCTGTGAGAAATGGATTTATGCACGCTTGTCATGCCAGCAAGCGAAAGATCCCAGGAAGTTGAGATTTTCCCTTCAATCGATGGTGTCGTCAGGGTTCAATGAGGTGCTACAAATCGATCATCAGAAAGTATGCATGACGGCCAGGGCTATAACCAAAAGCTGGTAATGATTGATCATTTTACGAAATACACAGAGGCAGCTCCCTCCATGACAGCATCAGCGGAGGAGACGTGTGATCATTTGATAAATGATTGGATAGCAAGGCACGGATGCCCGATCACGTTCCAGTCAGACAATGGCATAGAATTTCAGTCAGACAATGGCATAGAATTCCAGTCAGACAATTGCAGAGATCTCACAAAGGAGTTAATGAAGGAGTCGCAAGTGGCAAAGGTCCACTCGACCACTTATCCTCCACAAACGAATGGCCTGGTCGAAAGACAAAATCGCACACTAGTTTCCACGTTGAGGGTCTATAGCTCACGATACCTGGACGACTGGGATAGGCACTTGCCGCAGGTAATGGGCACTTACAATAGCATTGAACACTCCACCACGGGAATAAGCCCGCACATGATGTTAACAGGCAACGAGAAGGCCGTCCCATTAACGTTCTTCTACCCTGAGTACGAGTGTAAGAGAACAGCGCCACAAACGTACGTGCATGACGAGATCAGGAGGCAACAGGAACTCAATGATCCGTACAGGAGAAACACGCAGGAGGCTCAAAACAGGCAGAAAAGGCGGTTTGACAAGAGGACCGCTGATTCAAAAGCCTAAACAGTTGGGGACTATATCTAGGTGTTTCAGTAAGTCGTTACTCCAAGAGTACCAAAAATTACTGAAAAAATGGCGTGGTCAAATTCAAATAACTTAAGTGCACCAGGGTGGTCGTTTTTATCGGTTGACCACCGGACGGGCTGCTCATTACGAGAATATCAAACCGCACAATGCAAGGACTGGTGAATTCTGGCTGACATGAACGATGAGGACTAATTGATAGTTAACCCGGCCTGTGAGGCAAATGAGAGAGGCACACGAGACAAAAACGACAGGAATGAAGTGGTGGATGACTGTGATCTAGCACTTGACCTGGAATTAACCGAGTGAGAGGAGGTTGATGACGGAACCCTACCATATACCGAAGAGGACTGGGACTACCCCGAGCAGACCGAAGTTGATAAAGGAGAAGAGCCTGACTTTCCCTTTACCATGGAAACACGCCAGGATAAGAGGGGAAGGAATAAAAAGAAATACAACCCGTATGGTGAAGACTTTGTCGTGGACAGGATTCTTTTGAGCGACGTGGCGGATTCGACAGTGGGTCTGAACAAAATAGTGGTGTCACAGGGGATCGACCTGTTCAACGACACATGACAGGACTGGATCGACGATCGCTCAGAACCGGGAGTGGAATTCGAACCTGAAATGGAGCAGATGCATGAGAAAAAGTTAACAAACTTACGAGTGCTCGAATGGCTCCATGATCTACCTGCAGATCCCGAGGAGAACATCCTGACGATTCAGGATGTCGATCAAGCTAGCCTCAAATATATCAGCCACGATAACACTGGGTCATACTGGTTCGCTCCAGATAGTACCTTACATGTTCCCAAATCCAATCTCGATGTGCTCGATTCTGGGCGATGGATAATCGTAGGACTCACTCAGACCAAAAATCTCATGATCAAAAAATTTAAAATCGACAAGGGAAACAGGAGAACTAGAAACGGAGGGCAAGAACGCCACGAAACCGCTTTTTGACGAATTTTTGAATCATATTTTCAGCTACCGAATCACTACTCAACCAATATCATTGTCGCGGACAGTGATTCATACTCACGGACCGTAAGGGTGCTATAGCGATAACCGCGGATGTGATTTTTAAAACAGCTCCTGCGGCCGATTTTGAGAGAGTACAAAAACACCGAGTTTTGTGAAAACAGAGGCCTGGTGAGGAAAGGATGACAGCGCTGCCCCCTGTTGCATCACGGATACCACAAAAACACTAGTGTTTCTTAGTGACTAAGGTCCTTGACAGACAACAGGGAATCCCGAGAGTTTAGTGCTGGCTGTAACTCAACTTCCTAGCTGATAGAGGGGTGACCTCTCTCTCCTGGCCGGTCTTTGATCCCAATAGATAAAAAAAGTTGTATCCGAGAGATATATGCCCTTGTACATGTAAAACTTTTGCAAACCGACATATAGGTTTACTTGCATGAAAAGTACTACGTGAGTATTTTTAGAGCTGCATTTAGTGCTACTAGTTTTTAATAGATTTAGTTTTTGGGAATTAGGATCAAGTTTCAGGATATTTATTAGGTACTTGGTTTTTATGTAATAGTGTTGATATATGATATTTGTATCTTATGTTATCTTATGTTGTCGTTACGTTACGTTTTATGTGATGTTTATGTTATGGTAACCCGGACCACTCCAGGCGCGAAAGGTGACAGCTTTCATTAATATTACTTTGACGAGATCGCAGGTGGACAATCCACTACGGTGCTAGCTTTTAAACTAAGAGCAAAATTAGAATTTCAATTGACTGGCTTTAAAAGAAATGATAGAAGTCTTGCTTTTAGAATGAGATAGCTGGCATGATCAATCTAAGTCGTGACTTGTCTTTTAGACCGTGATTGATTGTACGATTGTTTATTGGATTTGAATTGGAATCGAAGAAACAAAACAGAACCTACACGAAGTATGAGTGACACCAATGACCGGCTCTAGACGAGATATGTCAGCGGTCGATAGATTTCAATTTTGGATTGGAAGAACCGGAGTTGGCGATGTTCACCGTCGCACTCCTTAAGGCGTTTTTGAAGAGAAGGCCGTGTGGACCGCCCCACAGAAGTAGTGTTAATGCTGGCTCTCTGTTAGTCCGGTACCGCCGAGCGGAGCAGGAAAAGACCTATACGAAGTAGATGTCTGGGCATGACCTGGCCCGTGAGTCAGGGCTAGGCTAACAAAGGGATTATAGACTGGGAGAAAGGCCAATGCCAGTACGCCCCAGTTGCTCAGCGCAGTCTCTCTTCGGATTGAAAAGATCACGCGATGGGCCGGTCCCATCGCATTCTGTGGACTCACCAACCGCAGCTCCATCATCAAAGAAGGTGAGAATGAATAAGATGGAAATACAGACGGCAGAAACCAGTGAAACTCTCGAAAACAGGGACAAAGACTGGAAAGAATTGTGCGCCAAGTTTGATGAATACAATGAGAAAACGAAGGATTGTGACGAATGGAAGAGATAAAATGACGAATTACAGATCGCTTTCCAGGAGGAAGAGACAAAGCACCTGAAGGAACTCCAAAATTTGAGAGTGAGCAAGTTGTCACCAGATGTCCTGACAATGATGAGCCCCGATACGACGACCAAGGCTAAGGCTCACAAGCTTTATAGACGGAATGAAGTGACAGCCCCGCAACGAATGAGCTCGCCTTCAAACGCGAGAAACACGATACCTGATCCCTCAGATACCTACCTGGCACCTCCGTTTCAGGAGAAGTTCGAGCAGGTGTCCAAAGCTACGATGCAGGAGATACGCCGAGCAAGGGAGAGAAGCTTGGGTAGGATCGTTCATTCTCAGCGTGCAGGCCAGTCACCCATCAGGAAAGAGAAGACAACAAATCCCACAAAAACGGCCGGTCCGGTAGTTGGTGGAGCCAAAATGAGGCTGCGAGTGATCGACATCCGAAAGGATCTCAACACCCGAAGGACCTTCGTGCAGGTTGCCGCAGAACACCCGAGGGTGTGCCTGAATGGTATGACCTGGAACCCGGCGACGACCCACCAACCGGTGCCAACTGGCAGCCAACAACTGATTATAGGTGATAGCTTGGTGAAGTATCTGAAAGCTATCCTCGTGGTGGCGCAGACCACTGTAATCTCTTTTGGCGGTGCCTCAGTTGCTCAAGTGGTCAAGATGATGGAACTGCAGAACGATGATCGGGTGGACATTAACCTTGATGACAGGGACTAACGAAGTCTCGAGGAATCCCGTCAACCCTGAGGTGAAGTGGGAATCATTGTTGATCTGTCTGCTCAACGAGTTGAAGGAGAAGTATAGACCGAGGATTGTGTGCTTATTTACCATCCCTCGCAACACGGACGCCGGCTCACCGATAGCCGACTTGACAGAGAATCCCAATGAACTCCGGTTGATGGACTTCAAAAATGCACTGAGAATGTTGGACCACGGTGCCTTGACGAGAGATGGTATACACTTCAATACCCAACCGGGGATACAGTGGATAAACGAAGCATTTCAAACGAGGATAGAAGAAATGGAAGCTGAGCTGCGGAAATGGTCAACCCGGTGGCATGAGGTAGACCTGCCGGCAGGTGAGGTTCCATGTACCTCATCCTTAAGAAAATCATCTGGGACCTCTGGCCAGTGGCAAACGTGGTGCAGCCCACTCCCAGTCCTGACGTGAGAGAGAGGTTGGGGACCGCTCCCGCTCCCCGAGATCGATCCTGGTGGAATCGACTGAGGAAGAGAGGTGGCCGACCATAGGTGGCTCCTCAAGCAACTACGAGCACCGCAACCCAACCTACAAGGACGCCGCCGGCTCAAAGGAACTCGCAAGCAGATTCTCAAGCGATGATTGATACAAGCAAGGTCAGTGAGTTGCTATGGAACAGATCAGACCCCAACCACTGGGTAAGATATAAAGCAGACTTAGCGATCAAGTTGAACTTGAAGCTGTTGACCTGTCATTCGGACGCGAAGAAAATGCTCGACGGGCACGACCCTACGGTACCCGGTTTATACCGGAAAGCGGGCGTAGACTGGCTTTTGGCCGAAGAGGAGCAGTTTAGTTCCGCCAGTACTCTGCGATTGGCAGATCTGGAGGGTTTGCCCAGAGACAATACAATGGGACCACTGAATACGAGGTTATTGGCGGACGTCAGTCATCAGGTGAGAGAAAGAGCCCCGCCAACCCGTTAAGGGAAATTTCTACAGCCTATGACCCTCACGAAATGAAGCTGGGCAAAATCTTGATAGTGGCTAGCTCCGACTACCTGTAAACTTCCCGCTCGCTCTTTTGGTCGGATGTGACCCTCCTCACAGCTCCCAACTTAGATTGGGGTCAAGCTGTGGGAATGGCGATAAGTGTGCAGAGAGTGGTGAACGTGGATCCAGTGGTGGCGAGAATAACCGGATCGAATGACCTCTTGCAGAGTAGGGGACTCTTGAATGCTCTTACCAACGGATCAACTCCGAGCTCGGAAGCTATAGGGGAGGCGATCATGAAGCTTCTCTCCGCTAAGTTGGAGGCCGAGAAATTGATACGACATTGTTTCACAAGGCAGCTGGTCAAGGTGATTTTCGTGCTATCTCCCGGCTATGCCTTGCTGCCCGCACCCCTGCAGTTTGTATATGCTATGGTCGTCTTGTTAGCGGAAGGGCGATTTGATGTAATGATACCAGCACCAGACCGAAAAGTGGATACCAGCCTTTACTACCCCTTCCGATCAGAACTCCCTGCGATATGGTCGGACATCTCGAGCGCGATCCATGGATTTAAAGATCATAGATCGACGCGTGTCGTATTGGATGAGGGGTTGGGATTTGAACTCTCCAACTTTTGCCGCTGCTGAAAATGAAGCCAGGAGTGGGTGATGGGCACATTTTAGTGCAACGATTAGCAAACAATTTGTGGTTTCGACAGACAGACTACGTGAGGGAAGAAAGAGGGAACTTGATGAGGAGAAACGCCCTCTCAACAACGAAGACCTTAAGGCTATGGCCGTTAGGACAAAGCCTCACTCC